AAATAGAACGCAAGCCATTTATATAATTTTTAATTCCCTAATATCACATTAAAAAGGTATAAAAAGAATAGATAAAATTAATGTTAACAATGCATTTTATTAATGTGTTTTATTTAACCTAATATATTGAAAATATTGTCATTTCAACACACGGCACCAGCCACATTTCAAGTACCCAATAGCTGCACATAGGTAGTGGGGACCGTATGAAGAGCACAGCTCAGTATCCCAGAACTCACTTCCTACAGCCCCCAGGGCCTCCCAGCACCCTGCTCTCTGATCACAAATTCCAATCACATTTCCCCCCATGATCCAGGGTTTCCCTGCCATACACACTCAACTCTCCCAACCAGATAGGAGAAATTTCACTTGCTTTTTTCATCTTATTTTTCCTCTGGCTCTAAACCAATATCTGACCTTCGGCAATGTGCTTCATTTCACCTGCTCTGGTGAGAGGTAGTGAGATTTTGTTTCCTCTTTCCCTGTTTCATCTTTGTATATCTGGCATTTGGCATACAGCCTGGCACATGTCACTGCCACACAGGTGGGGGGCTTTGGGGCATTTAAACAGGAGGGAGGTTTGGAAGACCCGGTGAGGATAAAATCATGAAGATCAGGCTGTCTATACCAGGTGCCTTGATGAGCTATATCTTCACTTTTGGGATAAGTGTTCAAAGCCTTCAGGTTTCCCCCCTTGAGCTGACTTCCCGTAGGCAATGGTCAGGCCAGCTGTATGGCACAGAGCCTCCCACACCGCTGGACTCAGCAAGGTCTGAGAAACCCAACTGAAGTGACTTCAGGCAGAAGAGACTAGCCGATTGTGGGGCCTGGGCTGAGACTCGGGCAGGAATACCTACTGGAAATTGGCCTGGGGAGGGAGCCACGCGGTTCTCTTGAGTGAAGAGTGTTTTGTGCAGCCGGGGATGCGTTTCTGCAGTTGGAGGAGCAGCTCGTAGCTTACAGGGAGTATCATCCTGGATATGGCCGTGGCAGCAGCCATCTCACCAGGCCAGTTCCACACTATGGTTCTGAGGGTTGTTATTGGAAGCTCAGCCGAGAGCCTGTTCTTCCAGCCCTTCCAATGCTTATATGAGCTACTTAATAAATTCCTTTCTGCCTAAGCTAGTTAGCATAAACTTTATTGTTGAAACCAAGAATCTGACCCAATGTAATTAATTATAGTATCAGTCTTAGGGTTTTCCTTTATACTGTTAAGTGCATTTATATCTCTGTTATCTGAGGCAAGGCTGTGGGGAAATGGGCATGCAACAGGAATATAAATTGGTAAAACTTCTAGAAGGGCATGATGGTAGTATTTATTTAAATTATAAAGGCGCTTACCCTTTTAACCAGTATTCCAATTATAGGCATTTGTTCTGCAGATACACTTGCATACATAGAAGCTGAGTTATGTACAATTGCAGCATTGTGTGTGAGAACAAAATATTTTAAATCACCTGAAAGCAACAAGAAGAATAAGAAACTTTATCTTGATGAAATGACTAAACTGCTTTTACCTGGAACTTTAATATATATGAAGGAAGGCTGTCTTCTATGGTGATAATCCAATTAGGGTAAGAAGGAGAACCAAATCAATAGCTAGAGTGCAGAGTGCAGGCAGAGCTGGCAGGACTCAAACTGCTCCAACACGAGTGGATACTCTGGAATGCAAAACCAAAATATCTGGCTTAGAACAAGCTTTTGTGCAGGCCAGTTATTGAGGCTCCGTTGGAACCCATTTGAGACCACAAAGGGGCAGGGGCAGCAGGGTGAGGAAAGAATCTTGGCACAGTGACACAGGGTGGAGGGACAGCTATCAGTCATAAGCAGCCCTGCAGATATAGCCTTTCTCTCAGTAGAGGAGCAAAGGGTAGGCCAGCTCACACAAGCACACAGACGAATCCCTGCTGGGATCACGGGGGCTCAGGTAGGGGTTTGCCACTCTGCTGTGGTGCCTTCCCACAGCAAAGAGGATGTCTAGGCCGCAGGGGCTCTAGGAGACACTATTCATGTTGTATTCCACGTCAATGGCGCCCCCTGGAGAGAAGACAATTTGGATGTTGTCCATTGGAAATAGTGTGTGTCAACCCTGCAGGGAAAGTACCCTCATTCAAAGGTGAGAAGTAACTAAAAGAGAAACAGCACACAAATCTTTAGGAAGATACAAGAAGGAGAAAGGAGGAAATCAATAGGGAAACAATTGGCAGGTAAAGAACACAGAAACATCTTGCCTCAAAACTGATGAAAATCATGACCAAGTACAGTAGTCCCCTGCCCTTATCCACAGAGGATACGTTCCAAGACCCCCAGTGGATGCCCAAAACCACATTTAGTACCAAACCCTATATACTATGTTTTTTTATACTATGTTTTTTTCCTATATGTGCTTTTTTTCTTTTTCTTTCTTTTTTTTTTTTTTTTTTTATGAGACAGAGTCTTGCTTTGTTGCCCAGGCTGGAATGCAGTGGCGTGAACTCTGCTCACTGTAACCTCCACCTCCTGGGTTCAAGCCATTCTCCTGCCTCAGCCTCCCGAGTGGCTGGGACTACAAGCGTGAGCCACCATGCCCGGCTAATTTTTGTATTTTTAGTAGAGAGGGGGTTTCACCATGTTGGCCAGGCTGGTCTTAAACACCTGGGTTCAAGTGATCCGCTCACCTCGGCCTCCCAAAATGCTGGGATTACCGGTGTGAGCCACTATGCCTGGCCCCCTATATGTGCATATCTATTTGATAAAGTTTAATTTCTAAATTAGGTACAGTAAGGCTGGGTTCAGTGGCTCATACCTGTAATCCCAGCACTTTGGGAGGTTGAGGTGGGAGGGTCACTTGAGCTCAGGAGTTCCACACCAGCCTGGGCCACACAGCGAAACTGTCTCTACAAAAAGTAATATTAGCCAGCATTGTGGTGCATGTCTGTAGTCCCAGCTGCTTGGGAGGCTGAGGTGGGAGAATCATCTGAGTCCAGGAGGTGGAGGCTGCAGTAACCCATGATCAAGCCTCTGCACTCCAACCTGGGTGATAGAATAAAAACCCATCTCAAAAAATAATTATCATCATAAAAATTAGGCACAGTAAGAGATTAATGACAACAACTACTAACAAAATAGGACAAATTAAATAATGTAATATAATAAAACTTATGTGAATATGATTTCTCTCTCTGTACTGCACCTAGTTTTGGACCTTGGTAACTGAAATTGAGAAAAGAAAACTGTGAGACTACCATAAATCTCCATAAACTCTAGGAACTAAAGTAAAAATAATCTCTAAATAACAAGCACTCAAAGCAGAGATACAAGAGTTCAAGGAAAAAAATGACAAAGCAAATGAAAATGAAAAATGAGCTGGCACTAATGTTTTCTTTGAGGTAGAATTACATAAAGTCTTAGATGTATAGCCTAATGGATTTTTTTTCAAGTAACCATACCCATGTAACTACCACTCTGCTACAGATACAGAACATTCTCCACATCCAAGAAGACTCCTTTCTGCCCCCTCCCAGTCAAAAGTAATTGCTGTTTTGATCTTTATCATCCACCATAAATTAGTTTTGCCTATTTGTCGAATGTCCTATAAATGAAAACATAGAGTAGATATTCTTCTATATCTAGGTTCTTTCACTTTACCTTATGCCTATGACAGTCATCTACATAGTTGTGGAGAACTGTAGTTCATTCTTTTTCAATATTGTGTGGTATTCCATTATATGACTATGCCACAATATATTTAAGCATGAATATTCAAGTTGTTTCCATTTGTAAGTGTTATGAATAAAGCTGCAATGAACATCCTTATGCATGTCTTTTGGTGAATATAAGCATTCATTTTCATCAGGAATATACAAAGGGGTGGAATTTTTAGGTCATAGAGTATATGTATATTTCGCTTTGGCACCATTAAGTTTTCCAATGTGGCTGTACCAATTTAAATCAGGAACACATGCTCCATGTCTTTGCCTCCACTTGGTTTTCCTTTTAGTTTCAGCCATTCTGGGAACAGCACCTCATTGGGTTTTTCACTTACATTTCCCTGACGCTTTGAACCTTTTCATGTGTTTATTTATTGTGAGGTACCAGTTCAAGTCTTAGCCCAGTTTTTATTGGATTGTCTGTCTTGCTTACTGATATGGAGTTCTTCATATATTCTGGATAGGAGTCCTTCGTCAGACATGTAAATACAAGTATTTTATTCCCATCTGTGTCTTGCCTTTCACTCAAATGATGTCTTTTGATGGAAAGAAGTTTTTAATTTTAATCAGGTCCAACTTACCAATATTCTGTTTTATATTTGGTAATTTGTGCTCCCTGTTTAAGAAGTTGTTGCTGATCTCAAAGTCATGAAAATACTCTCCCACTTTCACATTTACTTTTATGATCCATTTCAAATTAATGTTGATGGATGGAGGGATGTAGGAGTCAAGGTCCATTTTCTTTTCTATATGGGTAGCCAGTTAACCTCGCACCATTATTGAAAATAACATCTAAGCCAGGCATGGTAGCTTGTGTGCCCCAGCTACTTCAGAGGCTGATGTAGGAGGATATGAGTCCAGGACCTTAGAGCCAGCTTGGGCAACATAGTAAAAACCCATTTCTTATATTTATCTTTTTTTTTTTTTTTTTTTTTTGTGGGACAGAGTCTTGTTCTGTCACCCAGGCTGCAGTGCAGCAGCATGATCTCAGCTCGCTGCAACCTCTGCCTCCTGGGTTAAAGTGATTCTCTCATGTCTCAGCCTCCCAAGTAGCTGGCACTATAGGCACATGCCACCACACCCAGCTCATTTTTGTATTTTTAGTAGAGACAGGGGTTGCACCATGTTGGCCAGGCTGGTCTTGAACTCCTAACCTCAAGTGATCTGCCTGCTTGGGCCTCCCAAAGTGCTGGGATTACAGGCGTGAGCCCAATCTCTTAAACTAAAAAAGAAAAGAAAAGAACATATTTTCCCACCAAATTGCATTGGAATCTTGTTATAAGTCAGGAGTCTGTACCTGTGTGTGTCCCTTTAGCCCAGAGAGTAGACCAGCTCGGTAAATACTTTCTTGTCTTCCCACTTCTCCTCTCCTTCCTTCCATGTCCTTTCCGTTCTAGCTCTTGGTAAAAGTTCCTAAGAGACAGGATCTAGCTGGGAGGCAGTCTGGGGAAAGGAGGGTGACAGTGAAAAAAAGAGCAGCAGTTGTCCCCTCCCACCTTTCCTGGATCACAGCCTCTCACCTGCAACAGGCCCCAGCTGAAGGAAGGGAGAAGGTTAATCACTAGGTTCAGCCTGTGAATGTGAACTAAAGGGATTGTAAGGATTTTTATTACCCAAGAGTGAGTAGAGATGTGATGGAAATGCTTGAGTTTTCATCCAGAAGGGAAGGCAAGGGCTTCCTGCACCAAACAGCTTTAAAGGGAAAGTAGGAGATAAAAATAAAGTTGCTTCTATGGTCACAAAGCACAAGTCCTGCCTGTTCAATGAGCCAGTTACACATAAAAAAATCAGTTAAGCCAGAGTAAATTCAAAGACCTGAATTTAGTGTGTGAAGTTTTTCATTATTTTTCATTCTAATTATTGCTTATTATTAATGATTAGGATGATCTATTAACAGACATTATATGTAGAGACTGATCAAGGTATGTGTAGACATCAAGAGAAGGAATAAAAAGGCTCTAAATATGTATGACTTCTATCAATTATCCATGCTTGAAGAAAGTCATATATAATGAGAGAGTATAGGAAATGTTTAATATCAAGAATAGGCTAATTAAAATCAAAGCCAGTGATCACTACTCACCTGGTTCAAGCTTATAAAGGATAACTTAATTACATCCTTACATCCATTATTCCACATCTAAGGAGGACTGAGTCACTCTTCTTTATTTCCACCCCATCCCCAGCACCTCTCCTAGGTATTCTGAATGTGACTTTATTTATGCAAGTAAACCAACTAAAATTTTCTATACCCAGTTTTTGGTTCACAAACTGTCTTCTGCTGTATTGGAGGCCAAATAACACACACACACACACACACACACATATATATATATAAAATAACATATATATATATATATTTTTTTTTTTTGAGATGGAGTTTCACTCTTATTGCCCAGGTTGGACTGAAATGGCATGATCTCGGCTCACTGCAACCTCCGCCTCCCGAGTTCAAGCGATTCTCCTGCCTCAGCCTCCCAAGTAGTTGGAGTTACAGGCATGTGCCACCAAGCCCGGCTAATTTTGTATTTTTAGTAGAGACAGGGTTTCTCCATGTTGGTCAGGCTGGTCTCGAATTCCCGACCTCAGGTGATCCACCCACCTCGGCCTCCCAAAGTGCTGGGATTACAGGTATGAGCCACCGCGCCTGGCCATAATGTTTTATTTTCTTAAGTCCTAACTCATCTCCTTTACATTCTGAGATGTAGATATCACTGTTGAACATCATGTATGCATTTTGAAGATAGATCACCCAAGCCGTGATCTTATTCTTTATTTTAAGGTGATATAATAATCTTGGAAAGTTATGGCAGCAAGGAAGCACATGGAGATGACTTTTCAACTTTCCATGTGCCTGCAATGAACCAAGGGATATTTAGACATTTTAATCAGAGAGGCCCAATTGGTTATATTACCTATAATAAACTTGTAATAATAACATTAACTTGTAATCCTCAAAGGTTATCCAAAAACTATATTGTTGATTGCACAGATCCATTCCTTTGTTTCAGAACAATAGTGTACACTTGCTTTTTTTTTGCAAAGCATGACAACCTTCTAAGCCAAATCTCATTTTTGAAGTGGAACTTTGCATGTGCAGGGTTCTCCCAACGGTTGAAAGGTTTATGTATTAGTTGTGGAGGGAATACAATTCTTCTTTGATGTTTCTATGAACATCGAGTTTCCCAAATTTTTGCAATTCATATCACAGACAAGGGCAAATTTCCCAATCTATTGAGAGTCCTTATAAATGAAGACCAGTCCACAACAGAAAAATGGGCCAAAAAAAAAAAAAAAAAGTATGGAGCGTTTCCAGAAAAGGAAATATAAGCAGATTTTTTTTTTTCTTTTTTTCCGAGACCAAGTCTCACTCTGTCATCCAGGCTGGAGTGCAGTGGTACGATCTCAGCTCACTGCAACCTCTGCTTTCCGGGTTCAAGCAGTCCTCCTGCCTCAGCCTCCCGAGTAGCTGGGATTATAGGCGTGCACCATCATGACCAGCTAATTTGTGTGTGTTTGTGTGTGTGTGTGTGTGCGTATTTTTAATACAGAAGTACAGATGGGGTTTCACCATGGTGGCCAGCCTGGTCTCAAACTCCTCACTTTGTGATCCACCTGCCTCAGCCTCCCAAAGTGCTGGGATTACAGGCATGAGCCATCACGCCTGGCCATGAGCAGATTTTATAAAAATGAAAAGATGCTCAGCTTTATCCTAAGAGAAATGACATTGTAAATGATGCAATTCCACTTTTGCCTGCAGATTGGTAAGACCAAAAAGTTTTATGACACATCTAAATCGGCAAGACTGCAGAAAAGCAGGTACTCATGCATTGCTGGTGGGAGTGTGAACTGATACAAATTCTCAAGACAGCAATTAGCAATGTCCATCAAAATTACAATACAATATACACAGGCTAGGTTTGGTGACTCAGACCTATAATCCTAGCACTTTGGGAGGCCAAGACAGGTGGATCACTTGAGGTCAGGAGTTCCAGACCACCCTGATCAACATGGTGAAACCCCAATTCTACTAAAAATACAAAAATTAGCCAGGCATGGTGGTGGCTTATGCCTGTAATCCCAGCTACTTGGGAGGTTGAAGCAGGAGAATCACTTGAATCCAGGAGGCAGAGGTTGCAGTGAGCCAAGATCCTGTCACTGAGCTCCAGCGTGGGCAACAGAGGGAGACTCTGTCTCTAAAAAAAAAAAAAAAAAAATTACAAATCAAATATATTTGTTTGTCAAAGCTTACAGAATTGTACAGTAAAAAATGATACATTTTATTTTATGTAAACTATACATTAATTTTTTTATGAAAAAACTAATATTAGTCTCTTCAAAATAAATTCCATATTGACTTTAAAGATAAGGAGAGGATGGCTGGGTGAGGTGGCTCATGCCTGTAATCCCGGCACTTTGGGAGGCTGAGGCGGGAAGATCACGAGGTCAGGAGTTTGACAGCAGCCTGGCCAACATAGTGAAACCCCGTATGTACTAAAAATACAAAAATTAGCCAGGCATGGTGTTGTGTGCCTGTAGTCCCAGCTACTTGGGAGGCTGAGGTAGGAGAATCACTTGAACCCAGAAGGTGGAGGTTGCAGTGAGTGGAAATCATGCCATTGCACTCCAGTCTGGCAACAGAATGAGACTCCGTCTCAAAAAAAAAAAAAAAAAAAAAAGATAACGAGAGGATGAAGTTTATCTATACTTACTGGTATGCAATAAACTCCAGACATATTAATTAAAAACTCAAGGTGCAGAATAGTATGTGTAGTATATACCTTTTAAGCAAAGGCAAATGATGACATATATTTATTCATATATATATATATATGTTTGTATATGCATATCTCTAGAAGTACAAACACAAACAGTGGTAAAGTTACCTCTAGGGAGGGAGCCTGGAAACTGAAGCGTAAGAGGACTTACTTTTTACTGTCTCTGCATATATGTATACTTTTTTTTTTTTTTTTGAGACGGAGTTTCACTCTTGTTGCCCTCCAATGCCGGAGAGCTCCAATGGTGCATCTTTGGGCTTACGCAAACGCTCTGCTCCCAGCGTTTCAACGGCGAGTTCTCCTGCTCAGCCTCCAAGTCACGCCGGCGACTTACAGCCATGTGGCCACCCACACCGTGCTAAACTTTTGTAGTGTTTGTAAGATGGGGTTTCTCCCATGCTGGCTCACGCGCCTGGTCTTGAACATCCCAACCTCAGGCTCTGATCCGCCGCTCGATCCAAAGATGCTGGAATTACCAGGCGTGAGCGCAACCGGTGCCGCGCTGAATATAGGTACTACACTTTGATTGCTATTCTGATCTCTTCCCACAGTAGGCATTATTCTCTTTCAGTATCACCATGAAAACCGAAGCTGGCGTATTTCAGCACTTTTGGGAGCCACAGGCAGCGCGAATGCGTCCTACAGTGGCATGAGGACACGGGCAACATGCTGAAGAGCTCACTAAAAAGATACAACCACATTAGCGGGGAATCGGCTGGCGCACAGACCTACTTACTGGTCGCACGCTTACTTGGCATGGCTGAGCGCGGACACAGCGAGCAAAAATCGCGTGAGCCGCGTCTGACTGAGGTGCCACGTGAGGCCCGAGATTGGCGCCATACATTCCTAGCAACAGAGCCAAGACTCCTGTCGTTACAAAAAAAAAAAAAAAAAAAAACAAACACTAAACTTCACCAAAAAGCGTGTACA